GACATCCCCATCTACCATCAATTTACCTTCCTCTTCCCCATTTAGCTTTTAACGTCAAAACCTACATTTTTGTCGGCTCCGGTCTGTCTAGGGCTCTTGTGATTTAGCTGCGGGAATGACCGCTCCTGAGAAAATGGCAGCATGCTCATTAACGAGCAATTAAAAGAGATCGTCCTTGGCAGATCCAGAGCAGCTCCCGGTTCTGAGAAATTAGGGTTTTAAAAATGCGGAATTATTGATGGAGAAAGATCGGAGAGCCGATTCTCCGGGCGGCGGAGCCCGCTGCCCCCTGGCCCCGCCGCGCATCCCCTAGGGAGCTGCAGCCCGGCCACTCGGTCAAAGGGAGGATACAACATCTGCAGGACGTGCCGCACTGCAGCCATCCCTCGCCCCCCACCCTCCTTTATTTCCTTTTTTTTCCTGATTTTTGTATGCCGTAATAAAAAAGAATGCCAGGTTTGGGCAGGGATGGGAGTGCGAAATGCTCCAGTTTATCAGGCAAGGAAAAGCAAACGGGGGGGGGGGGAGATTCTTCTTTCCAAGTGTTATAAACAAAGGCAAGTGTCTGTAAACACAGACCCACGCCGGAGCGCAGACCCGGGCTGCCTGACCTGACGGGAGGGAGGGCACATCGCTTTTGTCTGGTTGTTGTAACCCCGCAACCTCCCCACTGTCAGCAGGGGCGGCTAAACGGCGCGGCGGCTCCCTTATCTTTTTATGGGCAATTGCACATCTACCTCCGCTTAGTGCCAGTCTCGTCGGGAACCACTTTCTTGGGCGCGGCGGCAGGGAAGACAGGCAGGTAAGCAGCCCTGGACCTGGAGAGAGAGCCAGCTTGGGTTAAGTTGAGATTCTTTCAGTAAGGGTCTAAAATATGAACCCGACTTGTTATGGGAAAGGGCGGAAACCTTGCGCTTAACCAGGAATTGCCCAAAATACCTAAAGCAGCTCCTTTATGTAAAAGGCTTATTTTTTTTTCCCCTCTCCTGCCTATATACAGAGGGATGCCACGCAATTCCCAGCGCTGAATGTCTGCAGCTTGTCCCGGCACCGGGGAGCAGAAAAGCCACCGGCAAGGCACAGGGTCCCTTGTACAGGAGTCGACAGGCGGGGGGAAGAGATAACCGTGCAGCTATAAGGGAAGAGAGATATTTCTGGAGAAGGAGATGAACGTACTGAAAAGAAACAGAGACTAGCTGTGCAGCTTGCAGTCAGAAATAAAGAAAAAAAGTTTCCTTAAAAAATAATAATGCAGTGGTGGGCTTGAAACGTGCAACCCATGAGAGTTTTGGGAACCACAAAGTTAATATTAAGTTCACCGTAGCTCATTGTAAATCTTACGTATCCCTTCCCGGCCCCCCTCCCGCAAATCCCTTGCCTTGTTCGCTCTTTCTTCCTTGACGTAAAATTACCTGCTACATAATCACTCCGTGCAAAGCCCTCCGGCCTCTCTCGTCCTCCCCGGCACCCTTCCGGGAAGCTGCTCCGCCGCCCTACCCCGCTCCGGGCTCGGCTCTCTCCGAGAAAAACCGCGCATCGCTGCCATTCCTGATCTGCCAGGGTTTGCACCCTTGTACGCTTCCCGTTAGCAGTAGGTCTCCTGCATGGAGAACACCACCACAAGGAATTCCTATTCAGCTGAACTGCCGGTTTCTGTTCAACACTCACGGGGCTAGCGAGATCCCTCCCTCTACCCCTCCTTTCACTCAGTCACTTGTTTAAAAATAAACTTAGGAGCCATCTTTATAATTTAGTTTACTTCCGAATATTTTAAATATTATGAAAAAAAAAAGCCATAAACAACGCTGTTATTCAAAACATTTTGAGGTATAAAACATAAAAAGATTTGGATTTTCTTTTTTTCTTTTTCCTTTTTTTTTTTTTTTGATTTTGTAAAAAACACACACAGTGGTTTATTGAGTACTTACAACGTTTACATCTTCAATATTAATTAGATTCCACTTTATCCCTTACGGACAGAAGTGCACATAACCGATAACTGTTGAAAACATCTTCAAATACTGAACGACCACAACAAAATTACAACACTAAATACCGAGTCAACCGAAACATTGGTGCAACTGCTTCTGTTGAAATAGAACTTTATAATCCCATGAATATTTATATCCAAAAGGCCAAGTATTAAAGATACACTTCACATACACACTAATGCCAGGGAGGGATCATTTTTTTTTTCTCCTTTTCTATGTTTCTGTTTTCCCCGTGTGTTTTATACAGAGCAAATAACATTCACGAAACTATTAGAGACATTACCCCTTACCAAGCTGGAGTTTCCTCTTCATATATGGAATGCTTTTTCCCTCTCCTTCAAATATCCACATTTGGGGTGGGGGGGGTGGGGGAGAAATTGCACATAAATAAACTGGACGATTCCAAATACAAAGAGTCCTCAGAGGAGTGCTCGCTACCGAGACTAAGAGGACGGCTCCTCCAGTCCTGCCGTGCTCACTGCTTGAGCTCCAAAGCCCAGACATGCTGCGGCCAGCCAGTCCTCCCTTTGGTTTTCTTATCGTTGCTGCTAACTGTGCTTTTCAAGATTTCGTTCTGGGGAGACAGGATGCGAGAGGAGAGAAAGAGAGGGGAGAGGAGAAAAAAAAGGTTAGAGTTATTCCTCCCCTTTCTCGGTTGCCTTTGCCCTGCTCCAGGAGGGAAAACTGCAAGGAGACACGGTCTCCCCTCCGAGACCCACGAGCTGTGGGGGACAAAGCGGGGGGCGCCGTTCGCTGGGCCCGGCCGCGGGAGAAGCCACCGCCCGTGGGAGCGGTCCCGCGTCCTGCGCGGCCGCCTGCGGTCTGCGGCGGAGGCGGGCCCCGCTCTGTTCCGCCACAGCTGCCTTGACGCGGTGCTCTCCCGGGGCCTGGCGACACGGGAGCGGGCTGGAGATCTGCGCGGTGCCGGCGCCTGAGGGAAGGTGTGGGTTACGGTAAGGTCCGTGCCAAGCCGTCCCCTCCAGTGGTCCGGGAAGGAGATGGGCACAGAAATGTATCAGGACAAAACACAAAGCCTGCGCCCGCCGAAACCTGCGGGAATATCGCCCGAGTGTGCCGTAGGGCCTACTCGAAATCGGGCTTGCGCTGCCTCGCCAAAGCCGACTGTCCTGCTGAAAATCAGGAAACTCGAAGCGCGGAGCTCATGATCAGGAGATCTCCGCGCAGCCCACTCTGTTCATGGCGGGGAGGTTACTCGGCTCGGCAGGTAATCGCGCCTCCAGCCTTTCATCTAAGAGTGAAGGCTTGCCTCCGGCGGGGTCACTGTTTGGGAGCTGGGACAAGCCCTAGCCCGGGAACGGACCTACTCGGGGGGCCTACTGTGACTGCGGTTCCCTCTCAGCTGCTTGCAGCCACCGTGCCGGACCCTGGCGCTCCGTGAGAGACTACGGGCGCCCACGGCTCTATCCTGTCCCTCTCTGGGCGGGCAGGTATGGCCCGGGACAGGAGGGACGGACGTTTCCGCCATGGACATCACCCGACAACCCGACGCAGCCGAACGACAGGAACGCGGGGATGGCACACCGGCGGGCGGCCGAGCAGCCCCCTCTCTGTCCCCCCCCCCTCCCCCCACCAGCCCGTTCAGCAGCACTGACCAGCTCTTTCTTTCTCTTTTCCTCCTTCACGTCTGTCTTCTTGATCTCTGCCTTGAAGGCCTCCGCCTCCCCGTTCTGGTCGTCCTTCGCCAGTAGGTCCATGAGGTAGGCGATGTAGCTGGTGGCCAGGCGGAGGGTTTTGATCTTGGAGAGCTTGGTGTCAGCGGGCACGTTGGGGATGCACTCCCTCAGCTCCGCGAAGGCGCTGTTGATGCTCTGAGTCCTGCGCCGTTCCTTGCGATTCGCCGTGCCCCTGCGCTTCACCGGCCGGGGCCCCCCAAGCCCGGGCGGGCCGCTCCCGGGCGGCACCCCTCCGTAATGGGAGTGGTCCATGCCCGGCGCCCCGTTGGCGTACTCGGGGCTGTAGGACAGAGCCATGCTGTAGTCGGGAGGGGACATCTCCGGGTGGCTGCTGATGAGCCAGCCGTGGAAGTAGGGGTTCTCCTCGTGGCCGCAGCGGGTGGCGGCAGCGGCGGCGGCAGCGGCGGCGGCGAAAGGGTAGCCCTCATGGTGCACCACCGGGTGGTGGGGGAAACCTCCCACTAGACTCATCCCCGCTTCCTAGCGCACCCCACCCCGCCCCCCCGGGCCCCAAAACAAAGGTTTCCCTTCCCCGCCCTCCCCCCACCCCCGCCGCACCGGCGGGAGATGCTCCCCGCCGCTCACCCCTCAGCACTGCCCCGCTGCCCGCTGCCTCTCCATAGGGCGCTGCTGCAGAGTCCCCGCGGGTACCCGAGCGATCCCCCCTCCCCGGCCGCAGCCGCTGCCGCTCATGCGTTGTGCCTCCACCTCCTCCTCGCCCGGGGCCGGGTCTTCAAGGAAGCGCGCACAGGAAAAAAAAAAAAACAAACCACCAACAGAACCGCTATGGAGAGAAGTCGACAAAAAAAAAAAAAAATGGCTTGGTTTCCCAGCCCGGGATCTTCCTGGCCTCTTGCTGCCCTCCGCTCAAGCCAAGTCCGCCGCTGCCCGGGCGGGTGGTACTTACACGCGCCCCCCCTCCATGCGCCCCCGGCTCAGGGCGGGCGGGCGGCGCTCCCCTCTGCCCTGCGCGGCGAAGGGGCCGTCAGTGGCGGGAGGGCGCGGGCATCCCTGCCCGCTGCTCCACGGGGATCAGCGCCCCGGCGCTACTCTGGGGCATCCGCGCCGCTCGGCCGGGCGCGGGGCTGGTGGCGGCGCTGGGAGGAGGTGGCGACGGGGCTCGGCGCGGCGCGGGGCACAGGCAGGGTTCCCCGGGACGATCTCCATGAACAGCTACATGTTTAGGGCCGCTCGGGTTAATATATGTCGTCAGAAGCGGCGGCCGCCAATGGCTGGCGGCTGGGGCGGGGTCCGCCGCCCTCCGCAATAAAACTTTTTGATGTTCGCTCTGCTAATTGCCGAGCTCCTCTTTTAGGATTGGCTGCCCCTCCGCATCCATAATGTAATTAAAACAAGGGGGGAAAAATTATCATGGAGGCAGAGGTTAATGCAAGTGTTTAGCAGATGCTTTACTGTAAAATCTGCATTATAAAAAAAAAAACCAAAAAAAAAAAACAAAACAAAAACCAAAACCCAAAACCAATAACAACCAAAACCCAACAAACGCATAAAAACTTAAATATCGGACAATCTCAAACCAGGTACAGTATGGATCCAAGGAATTTCTTGGCAAGAAAATATGTGTGAGAGCTCGATACGCTCCGAGGTTGCTTTACAAAGTGCTTAGTGCCGGTGCGGTCGAGGAGCAAACAAAACCGGCTTCGGCGGGCACTGCCTGGATAGCCCGGCTGCGACAGGCAATGCCCCAGCTGTGATCCAGCTTGTACCTTTACGGCCGGTTAATATCCACAAAGAGATGGTTAGCTCCCGCAGGGAGGGAGACTGAGCCTCTCTGCCTTGTCTGTCACCCTCCCCGCGACCGAGGGAGCTGAGAACTCCGGGGTTTGGCCAGGAATAGTAGCTTCCTCCAGCAAGAATTGCTTGGAAACATTAACAATAAACCCGACCCTGACTGATTATTTTCCAGCCCGCTGCCTGCTCCTACGCACCCCGACCTGCACTCACCCAGCGAACGGCTCCGGCAACAGGTTTCAAGCTCCTTTAACTGGTCTGATGGGTAAGTAACCGAATATTTTTTTTACAGCATGTTCAGAGCTAATTTTCTAGCTTTTACTAACAAAGGTATAAACATTTCGCCGCATTCCTGCCTCTGCAATAAAAAAAAAAAAAAAAAAAAGACCAGCATCTGCAGGTTTAGTTATAGAGAAAAGGAATAGTTAAATATTTGTTTAACGGCCAGGCCAGGAGGAAATCTCCCGTAGCTGTTGAGGTGTTTTGCTTTGGTAAACTTGACGAGGTTACAAAAGGAAAATGGATCTCAAGCTGTAATTCATGGATAACTTGGAGGCGAGGCTAATTGTTGTCATCTTCAAATGGAGCCGAGCGTTCCTAAATAGCTGCGAAATATCAGATACCCACCCTTATGTGTGCTGGCTGACGGCTAGGCTGATTTGGCGTATATTACAATGCAATCCTACAATATAGGCAGTGTGGAAAACTGTGTCAACAGGAGCTGAGAGGTCATAAATTAAAAGAAATAAAGATAGAGACGGAGGAGTCTGAGAAAAAAGGCAGGCAGATCCTCAAGTCTGATCTCTGCAGCAGCTCAGCGCTCTCTCCGGCTCCACTGAAGGGGCTGTGGGTTGCCTTGGGGGGAAGCACTGGAAGTTTAGGGAGCGAGAAGCGTGCAGAAAAGCTTCTCAGTGGGAAATCGACTCTATGCCTGGGCAGAAAAGACGAGATGAGCCCGAGCGGTCCCGGTGGGGCGGAGGACTGCCGATGGCTGCTGCCGGTACCAACAGCGGGCCGCGGGGGCCTGCTAGGGCCCGGGGGTTCTGCGGCAAGGTCTGTGGGCTCTGGCGGGGAATGCTCTGCGGGCAGGCGGCAGCCGCAGCAGAGGACACCGCCCTTCTCGGAGCAGTTATCTGCGGTACCGGGGAGATGGTCTCTGCAGGGAAACACCGAGGGCGAAGACGGGCGCTGGCCCCACATTTCTGCAGGACGGGGAGCTCAGAGCTGGACCCAGCGACGGGGATGTGCACAGCGAGCAGGAATGCAGATGTATATACACATATGCGTGTGCGCCTGGGTGTAAACTGCGTACGAAAGCGAAAAAGTAGTCCAGGTGTAGAACTGATGTATACACACATACATCTTATGCGTATGCACACATGCTTGTAACTGAAATAACTGATGGATATCTGTGTCTATACATGCACACACTCACGCTTATAAATTGTATTATCTTAAGGAGGTAGCGTGTCTCCCGCGCGGATTCGGGTATTTCGGAGAGGTCTCGGGCACCCCCAGCCTCTCGGGCTGCGGCGGACGCGGGGCTTAGCCTGGGAACCCGCCCGCTTCATGCAGGGGGTCTCCACTTTTATTTTGCTGCCTTGTTTTCCTGGATGCGAGGAAGAAGAGGGCATTGCCAAGGGCGGAAAGGTATACTGGCTTGCAAACGGGGTTGTTTTTCTCTGCACTCTTCTTACTTGTGTAGGAGCTTTCCGATATACTGTAGGCTGGGCTGCAGCCGTGACAGTCTCTGTGGCAAACCTCTACGGCCACCCCGATAACATCTCCAATGATGAAGGAAACGGAAAACATGAGGCAGAGAAAAAGTAATAAAAGATACAGGAGATATCGATCAGAACACCAGTCTCCAAAGCTAGCATCGTTATTGCTTCATTAGCTTATGGAAAGAGGGTCTTTAGATAAAACACCCAGCAGGATATTATACATACTTTTTTTCCTCCTATTCCCTAACATTTGTTTCTGCGTTTTGTAAAGAGAGTTTTAGAACAAATACAGCACTTGTGTCCTCCCTTAGCTTTTAACTAATCAGACTGCCAGATCAGGGTTTATAGCCTTTTCTGTTTGATCCACGCGTTGGAAACCGCTGCAGACCAAAGTACCTTTAAAAAAAACCCATAGGTTTACAGTCCGCTAAAACTCATCAGGGTTTTGCCTACCAACCATTTATTAATTTGACTTTTTTTTGTGAACTACTTTTTTTTTTAAATTTGCGGGGAAAATAAAGGAAAAAAAAAAACAAACAACAAAAAAAGGCAGCTCCAGCCTTATGTCACTTCTTTCCGTACCAAAATGGTTGCATGTTAGGCGGCGATTTATCTGGGCTCTGCTGACTGACAGGACTTTCCCAGGAGGAAATGAAGGAATTTTGGTGGCGACTGTGCCGAGGCTGGTTTTCCCTTTCCTTACCCCCCCCCCCTTTTTTTTCTTTAATTTTATTTTATCTTGGGGTATGTGTATGTGGGGGGCTGTATGGCTACTTCTGCCCCGCTGCTTTGGCTCTCCAGCACGGCAGTCCTCCGCGGAGCTGAGTGTGAGGATGGGGTTGTCCGTGCCTCCCGTGGGTGCCCCGCGGCACCCGCGGGGAGGGGGGCGGCGGGGAGGGAGCCCGCTCAGCGGAACCACCCCGGCCGCGCCGCCGGGGCCACCCGCTGCCCTGTCCCGGCGCTGAGCCGCCGCCGGGCCACTTATCACCAGGTCACTTCTCTCCTTCGGGCCAAGGGCATGGTGGGATTTGGGATAACAAAATAGAGCTGTGCTCCCACCCCCTTCCCAAGCCTGTGTGAATTAAGCTAAATTGCAAATTAAGCTAATTTCTCCGAATCGGTCGATACCGTATAGGAACGGGGAACTGGTGCCGACGCTGGGTGGTCGGAAGCCCGCGTCTGAGGGGGACTCCAGGCTTGACTGCTGGAGAGCTTCAGTCGCACCAGACTGGGCCTTTGAACAGCAGGCCAGGGGCACCCGGCCTGTTCCTGAGCAGCGAGCTTCACATTCATTTGCCCCTTTTCTGCACCTTCTTTTCGAGGGGCGTCCGATACCGACGCGGGGCAGGACTGGGGGACTGGAAGCCGCCCGGGACAGGGCAGCGGAAGGACCTGCGGGAGCCGCGCCAGCGCCGGGGAGCCTGATACCGGGCCCAGCCCCACGGTTCCCGCTGCGGGCAGCGGCGCCGGGTCCGTCCTGCACTCCCGAGCTTTCACTAAAGAAACAACCAGACCCACAAAAGCACTCTGGGGGCACCCCGGGCCTTGCACCTGAGGCGCAGCCCTGGCCGGACGGTCACCCCGACGGTTTTCTCCCTGTAGCTCCGGACTGCAGGGTGCCTCTCCTTCCTCCTTCCTCCCGGCTGCCTACCACATCGGCCAGCCGCCCGGTGCACGGCTGGAAAAGACAAGACGCGTTTGAATTTATAGAGTGCATGATGTCATTGACCCGGGGCCAAATGTATCTGGAAGAGGTATCGTTCTCAGGTGGATTTTGGGGCGTCGAAACAACCTGTGTCCCAGGGATGCAACACATCCTGTCCCTGGGCTATCGCTTAGAGGTTCGCGGAAGAACATAAACCAGCAAGAAAACGGGTTTTGTAAAGACGCACTGGAGAAATATCATTTGAAGGTCAACCTGTCAGTGCGGGTTAATGAAAAGGACTTGTGCCTAATGGGCCTCCTTGCACCCTCCTCTGCGCTCACAGAGTCTGGATTTCAACGTCCAGGGCAGAGGGCAGAATCGGGCCCAGCAGGCCCGAATTAATTGCTGCCATTGGAGGTGGAGGAACCTTGATTTACTTTACTATTATCGGTAATGAACACCCCACATATTTCAGGCATGATAATCTCGCAGCCGTTGTGTTTGTGTACATGTATATTAAAAAAAAAAAAAAAGAAAAAAAAAGAAAGAAAGGGAAGAAAAAAGATCGGGGATGAGGAAAACCCGAGACACTGACCATTTTGTGAGTCTCAGCGATTGGCGGTAAGCTCGAGACCCTACGCGTTTTACCACGGCATGTGTAAGCAATTATTCGAGGATTGCTTATATTTGTGACCGAGGATCCAGAGTTACATTTACATTTAGACCCTAGACAGGAATCACACAAATAGAAGAAAAACTCAACGAACTCCAAGCAAGACCCCTTCAGAGGAACAATAATAAAGACCTTATAAAAAATTTCAGTGAACGCACAGTTGTCTCTATTTACTGTTTGTCATACCTATACCACATACATACACATGTATAAACACGGACGCATTTGTAAACAGACAAGCACATGCTTTTTTCACGTAATATTGTTTGCATTCATGGGAAAGAGCATCTTCAGTCACTCTTGAGGTCGGCGCTGATGAAATGGCTCGCGGATGTAATTGCCTTCATTAATAAAATTTTACCTTCCAGCATCTGAATTTCAGGCGCTGGAGGAAGCAGAGGTTAGGCTGGCATCCTTTTGGGTGTAGGCGAACAAAAATCAACATTTCTGTTGTCATTTTCCATGTAAAACCTGTGTTTAACAAGGCTGGGGTTTAAGCAGTTTCATAGATCAAAGAGAACCTCGCTTGGCTTAAGAAAAGAAAAAAAAAAAAGGGAATGAAAAAAAAGACCCCTCCGGAGCAGTGACAATTAACTGCAATTTGGCCCAGGCACCCGCACCCCCCGACTGCCGGTGTCGTCCCGCCGGTGCCCCCTCGCCGTGGATCTGCTGCACCGCGCCCGCTCCCTCTGGCCCTTGGCAGGCTGAAGCCCACGGGCTCGCCTGCGAGCTCCGCAGCTGACTCCGGCAAACGTCGGCTGCTGCACACTTGTTAGAAGCATCAGCCCGTCCCGCAATTCCTGTATGCGTATTTCGGTGTAATTGAGCTGGCTGAGTGAGGTTTTTTTGGTAATTTGGATACGCCAAGTCTCCAGTTAATGACATATAATCAGCCTTTAGGTCACTTGGTCATTCTCTTATTACAACCCCCTCCTGCTCTCTCTGATCTCCTTTCAAACTAAATTTCACACAAACAAATAAAGCAAGACAGGGACAAGTCCTTAAAATACAAGAGAGAAATATTGGAGACTTGCTCGTGGGGAACTATAAACATTTTTAAAAGAAAAACCGAAAAGATAGGAAAGAACATCTTATCGAGAAAGGGAGCATTGTGTACAAAAAGCGGGGGGGGGGACGACGACGACGACGACGACGGTCTGGCTTCTGTTAAAAATGACATAAAATTAAAATAAAAATAATTACAAACAGAAATGGCATAACATAAACAGAAGGCAGGAGGCTTTCCTAGAAATGCGCGGCCGTACTGTAATTTGCTCTTACAGATGATACAATCGCCGGTGGATATGCAAAGAGTTTATTTGCTTCACTTTAGCCGGCAAAACGAAAAGAAAGAAAAAAGAGAACTAAAGAAATAAAAGTCCTTACTCTTCTTTTCAGGAAAGTAACTGAAGAAGCCGGAAAATTGAGAACTGAATGTCACGTACCTCCTCAGACCTGCAGGGAAACCCAGCCGTGACCAAAATATTGGGTGTAAATGCGACAACAAAAATAAATACTTTACATCACCGAGCAGAACATATTTTAAGAAGTCAACGCTTTGTTTTTCTGCTTCTCATTTTTTCCTTTTTTTTTTTTAATTCTTTCTTCCCTGTAGGAAAAGACAATACTTTTTTTTTTATTAGGTATTCCCCAAAAGATTATTTTGATCTCCTTCCAGGTGTGTGTGTATATATACGTATATATATATGTGTGTGTCTGTCTGTACACAGCCGCCACTCTCAGCAGTCGCAGGGACTGGGATGTGCGGTGCCGCGGCTGGTGGGGTTGCCGAGCGAGGACGGAGCAGACATGTCCCGGGGACGGTCCGAGGGCCCCGCAGGCTGCAGGCAGTTAGCTGCGAAGGTGAACCCCGTTTTTCGGAACTGAAGTTGATTCATAAAACCGAGAGAGGGGCGACTTCAATAGCGTTCAAGTGTTGACGCTTCGAGGAAGAAACCTGAAAGAGGACTGCCGTCTATGCTCCCCTACAGGCATTAGCACCTTTCAAAATATTATCAACGTGCGTTTTACCAAAGATCTCGTTTGTGTTTAACGCGGGGTTCAGACAGGCAGTAATTTTGCATCTAAGCGTGTGTGAGGTTGCGAGGAGTGCTGGGGCAGGCTTACACAGCGAGAGGAAACAGAGCAATACATGAATACATGAAGAGTGTCCCAAGGCCCCAGCGCGGGTCATGTTGATGTGACACATCTTGTTACTTGTTCACTACATTCCCTGTCTTTTCAGCATTTCTAAGCCTCCCAATATGTATATGTATGTGTGTGCATGCATGCGTGTGTGTATATATATACACACATATATAATATATATACACATGTATACATATGTGTGTGTGTGTATAACACACACACATATATGGATGTATATATATGTATTTCCCGACAGCCCTTTAGATGCTGGGCTGAAATATTAGCACCCATTCTGCCCAGTAACTCCTGGGCAGCGGGGAGGCAGAGCTCCGACGCCGAGGTCCTGCCAGGGCCCACGGGCCGCAGCCGGGGGGAGAGGCCGGGGATGCTCAGCCCTGCCCCGGCCCTGCCCCCGGCGGGGCCCGCAGCTGTCGCCTCCGGCGCTGGCAGGGGTCGAAGTGCTGAAGGCCGAGACTGGGAGGCGGTCTGGTCCCCGCTGCCCCCCGAACCCTCTAGGGGAGACCGACCCCGGCCTTCCCAGCCGTGCCCTGCCACGCCCGGGAGGAGCCCCGGAGGGCTGGGGGCGGCTGGAAAGGGTTAAGAGCTTCCCCTCCTCCTCCTGGAGCGCCCTGAATGCCACTGCTTTCCTCTAGAGGTCTCATTAGGGAAACCCTAACTGCTATTTTCAACGTTTCCTCAATCAAGCGCCTTTAAATAGAGCTCTACAAACAAATTGGCGGCAAAAAGCGCAGATCTTGTCACGGGCGAGGCCGATCCAATATTTCACCCTTGTTTGCTTTGTAATTACAGCCTGGCTTGTGGCTACCTGCCCACTGGGGCGGGTTCCCTCTGCCCCCCACCCCGCCGAGCCCCTGGACACTTTTCCTGGAGCTGGGAGAGGGGAAAAGCGGGACCGCCAGAGGGGCCACTTCCCAAGTGGTTTTAGGGAAAAACAACCCATCAAAATCAAAATCAGGAGCGGAATCTCCCGGTCCGAATGCTACCAGGGGTTTTAGCAACGCTGCTCAGAAGCCACGAGCTTTCCATCACATGTCCCCTCTTGCCTCGGACTCTCCTTAACCCCCCCCCCAGCCTCCCTTTTCCTCCTAAGCCGTAGTGTGGGACGCGGGTGCCTGTCCACGCAGCGCTCCCTGAGCTGTCCGTTTGCATTGCGGGCTTGGTTCCCCCTTCCCTCTGTTAAACCGCTCTTATGATTTGTTATATTTTCCACAGCTGCTTATTCCTGTTTGACGGCTGTACAAAGCTGCTTTAAATCTTCGGCAGGAAGAATAAAAGTTGAAACCGCTTGGACGGGTTCCCGCCGGCATGCGGGCTGATGCGGGTCCACCTCCGTCCCTGCGTAACGACCCCTCTGCACACATCAGGGCTCGGTAAGCCTTGCTACTGCGGCTCGAGGCAGCAATCCGCTCCCTAGAATCAACAGAAATAGGAGCTAATTCAATTATGTTTGAACGCCGGGGTGTAGCAGAGGGAAACTTTGGCGTTTATGAACTAAGCTGCTATATTTGCTTTGCTATAAACCGACGAAAATATTTTATGATGGAGGGGAACAGTACAACACAAAAGGGAAATATGACAATAAATCTCTTTTTATGGATTCTCTCTAGCAGCAAAACACAAGGATTCAAAGGTTTTATGACTCAAATATTTTGCAGAAACATCTAAAGATACCTACATAGAAAGGAACACCCCTCATTCCCCCTTCCAGCCCCACTCCTAGGTAGGGGAGACTGAACTGTCCCCCTCCATTCAATGCCAAAACTCCCTGAGACTTTCATGGGAGCAGTGCTTGCACAGGACTTCACATCTGATCATTTCAGGGATATGCTTCCATTATATATGTTGCCACTGACACTGCTCTGTCATAGGCTACCAGTACACAAAACTTGAGGTCAGAAGTAATGCTCCACCATCCATCTCATAGTGACCACATTAGGCTGTTTTCTTCCTGGTTAGTCCAAAACTATTAATGTTTGAGATAGTTTATCTATCTGTGGAGCTAAATTGCAGCTTTAGTTTAACTGGGGCAGTTATGCAGAGTGATTCACATGCTAAAATAAAGATGGCTACTTCAAGGGGAAGATTTCAAAGTGGCAAAAGGCCTAACACTCCTTGAAGTAAGTGCAGGTTCAGCATAAAAATACCTTTGAGGATTTGAGCTAGGGTTAATTTTAGAACCCAAAAGACACAGATCTCTGCATCTTGATATTTTAAGAAATATGCCTCATGGAAAAAATATTTTTTCAGTCATGTTCCACTGCAAAACTGCATTCATACATCCTCAAGCTGTTTTACACCATGCAAGCACGTTTGCAGCTAAGGTGTAGGCATGTCTTGTTATCTGTCTCCATGACCTGTCTTGGTTCTTTCTTCTTATCAAGTCCTGATACTGCTTACCTTGATCACTGAAATGCAAGTTTAGTTCAGCTGCAGTGCAGGAAATAACTGGTAATCCAGCGGTTTGTTGCTGGGCTGCAGCAATTTGGATGTGCAGAGCTTGAAACCGTTGCTTCACATATATTCTCAGAGTGCAGTGCTTTTCCTACCTCAGCGTACACACATGTGTGCAGCATGATTTGGTCTTCAAGAGACTGGTCCCTGGAAAGCCTAGCAGCTATGAAAGTATAAAGCACAGGTAGCATATGCGGTTAAATGCGTTCTTTCAAATATATGACCTTTCAGTTAAAATTTTTTCTCTCATAAATTTGTCACACTATAGGCAAGAAAATTCAGGTCCCTGATTTCATTAAGGAAAGGCTGTAAAATGATCAGTTCAGATACGTCAATCCTAATCATGTGTGGACCATCATCTACAAAATATATCCATAGGAAAGTGAAAGATCACAAAACCTCACAGACACAGACCTCATCAGTACAAGTTGTGCTACCTAAGCCAACTGGTCATCAGAGTGACACCTATGTGTATGAATTCAAGTTTTGCATGTACCTACTCCTATTGGAAACAATGGTTCGGAAACATATGAGCTAGCTCATATACCATTGCCAGTCTTGCATAGGAAGGCAGAGCACAGTACAGGCTGATTTCACTCTGTTTCTTACTGAGCGAAGTAGATTGGACTGAGCTCTCTGCTATCGCACTAAAGCACTGCAAGCACTGTGTTACAGCCACTTTAAGGACCTCTGCACTTGACTGCAGTCTGCAGTTCAGAGTAGTGGGAAAACAGTACTGTATATACATACAACTTTGCTTACCTGGAGACCAGAAGCTCTGCCCTGCATACCTTGAACCCATGAAGGGCTTCCCTTGACTCCACTCATGTACTATTCATAAAGATATGTCCTAACTTGTAAAAACAATACATGCCCATTTAGTATGATATGTGTATGCTCACATCTGGGCTGCATGTGTGGAAAAGTAAAAGCACACTGCAGACAATTTTACATGTGCAGTTTTCCTAGTATGGGTCTATGGATCTACAATATGTCATATGTACAGTGCAGAAAATGACAGTCTTATGCACAGGAGGGCAATTTTAAGTGGCTTTCAAAGTAAAAAGCCTAGCATTATTCTTGGTAGCGCAGTTAGTAGCAGCTTATTTCTCCTGGTGGCTCCTGAATTTTTCTGCAAACCCACTAAGATGGAGCGTTACTCCTAAATAGCAACATGTACAAATCAATCAGAAGTTTTTAGATATTCATTTCTACAGGCTGATGTTACTAAAATTAAAAACATCTGCTTTAAGGAATGCAGATTTTCTGGATGCAAATTCTCCTCTACTCTCACAGTAAATTCAGCTACTTGGGAAACAAAATGTGATTCTAAACAGTTATTGCATTGTTTGACACTGTACCAAATGGAATAGTGCTGCCCTTAATGTTGTTCAATGAACAATTGGAGTTGGATAAAGGCTTTCAGCTGGGAACACTTTTCCGATACCTCTGTAGGCAATGGGATTCCTGTTGTGTTCTGCTCTCACAGTCAGGCCCTGCACACTGAGCAAGGGTTCACCCCCATGTCGCCAAGACAGCTCTCAAAGAGATGAGTTTGTTTCTGTGGCAGGCTTTTAAATGTTAGCCTGTTATCAGCTCACCAACATGGTTTTGCAACTGGGAAGAGTAGTGACTGGAGCTCCAGCTGTCTGCATTTCAGATACTATCATCTAACCCTGATTAGGGGCACTAAGTGGGCTAGAAACTCCTCTGCAAAGTCACCGGAGAGGAACCTCCTCTTTTTTGTATGCCCCTTAAAAATCGTTATGGAAAAACTTCAGTACTTGTGTTAGGTTCTCTTATACTGAAGAATGAGTAGTTGTATGTATTGACAATCACATAACACAGTGATTGCTGTGCTAATGAAATAAGTGCAATCAATATCAATACAGTTGCACTGAATACTGCAGTATGTCCATGGGACATTTTGTTGC